CAACTGTCCAATCAACGTGCCTCAGTCCCGCCCACGCACTTGTCGATAGCAATGGCGGCAGGTGCACCCTCCTCCGCATCCTGATCTCATCCGATTTCCTAATGGCTACTGTAGAGAGTGACTAATCGGCTCACACACATATATATTCATATGTACATGCATGCATAAGCTTTCAAATCTGCACAAATCTGTTCACTTGGACAGTAAAACCTTGCTTACCAGAAGATGTTGCTGTTTTTACTGAGGAGTGGAAAAGTCTACCGAAATGTCAAAGAATTTCAGTCTAAGAAGTCTGCTTTGGAAAAAGGTATCCGGAGGTTTTGAGGACAGGTGTTGAAAGTCAAATTTGCAAGGATAAAACAAGTTAAGGGTAATCGGATGCAATCCCATGTCCACAGTCTGCACAGTATATTTCATTAAAAATGTACATATTCACAGATTCATGGGAAAATCTACCGTGGTACATTTTATTCTCCTGATTATTGGCCTAGCGAGGTTTAAGTAACAGACAATTAGAGGGCGTTCTTTTTAACAAGTTCTAGGGTTGCCTACCCGACAAAACCCACCTTATGCATTGCATGCTTATCGGGCCACTAAATTTCTAATGGGAACGAGGTCAAAGATAAACATGCGTTTCATTACGTTCTTTAGTACATGCAACTGAGTCATTGGAATAGGGGAGGGGGTTGGGGTTGGCGGGTCATAAAGAAGCGGTTGGTTACGCGGCAGTGAGGGTTTCGTTGAAGCCAAACGAGAAGGATGGGAGAGGTGAAAAAAAAACAGAAGAGGGCAGGCCGTTTGTTGACCCTTGGCCATTCTAAGTGCGAGACTTGCAGGAGGTACTTTTGTGCGCACAAGACCGGCTTTCTCAACCGGACAGCGGTTGCTTCTCCTGCTGCTTGCGCACCCTGACCCAGGGAGCCTGCTTAACTAATAAAATTAAGCATGTCGTCGCAGAGCGGAAGAGTGACAGGAAATTTTGTCTATCGGTTTACCCTAGAAAAGAAAGTTTATGCAGAATGCACTGTATGCTAGGAGAGAGAGAGCAGTCAACCAATCTAGCGCAGACGGGTTAGTGTCAACAGCCTACTTGATCAAGCTAAACGCACTGCCTTGACAGCAAATCATCTCGGATGGAGGAAAAAACTACCTTTCAAAAGAAGATCTTAGCATGAGTGCCAACATAAATGACACAGCAGGAGTCAAGTTAAACAGAACTAGGCGCATAAAGCAATTAAACCAGGCGAACTTTTCCTCTCATGGTGAATGTGTTTGTATTTGTTGAATAAGACCTGATGAAACACCAATCGACAACGACATTACGCAGTCAGCTTGGACACCCTAAGGATAGGGTTGGGCATTTAGATAAGGAAGGGGTTCTCCGCAAGATTCGGTGTGATGTCTGAGATGCAGTCTATTGCGGTCAAAGTAACAAAACTACCTTCACATGCAAACGTGAGACTGAACTGACGGTAGAGGGACGGCTCATCTGTCCCAAGGAACCACGTCCACCCTTGATACTAGACAAATCTTTACCCTGAATCAACTGACTTACAGACAACCATGTTTTTGTTTACTCACTGAGGCTCATATTCTCCATAAAACCATTCATGTGGATCAGCTAAATGACCGAAGCCAGGAGACTTGGGTCACACCACACACCAGAACCCACGTTTCCTCCGTAGAGGAACCGAATAGTATTACTATGACGTCAAGACTATCAGATGACGAGCAATTTTATGATCCAGGAAGTGAATACAGGAAAATTTTAGCATTAAATGTACTGAATAAATTCACATATATGAAAAGGGAAAAGAAGATCCGTTAACTGGTAAAAAAATAATTCTCGTGGTCGATTGGTTCGTTTCTTCCCTCCTGAGACATTGGAAGTTGCCTCTGAAAAAAATATTGCTGCTGAAAATAGATTAAACTGGAACAAAGTTTTATTTCCATAACCCCAGGCTAGGGATCAGAGCCTAAACAATTGAGGCTGAGAGTTCATTTCCTAGAAACCGATGCACAGTATGCAGTTTAAGAGGAGGATTTATCACAACGTGTGGTAAATTTTGCTAATAAGAATGGTTTCATCTTTACTTAACCAGTCCGGTAAGTGTTCACGTACTCTCTTTTACAGCCGCCTCGTTGTTCTGCTAATATATCCTGCTCCACAGAAGCAAGGCGCCTTGAAAAGAGAGTACGTGAAGACATACCAGCCTGGTTAGGTGAAGGTGAAAGTAGATCGATTTTGAGTTCTAGTCTCACACACCTTGTGGATACGAATCGTCGAGTTGATCCTAAAAAAAGTTTCTCAGATTGCCTACCGGACACCATATAACCTATCCAAGGGCCTACGCCAACGGGTACTAGCAACAGCCCAGGCAGTGGCTATAAGGATATTAAGTCCATTGCCTTGTTGTCAGAAGAACCTAACACAAGCGCTTTCGCTTCTATGGCCGACGCCAACGCCAGGTGCGATCGCATATCCCCCCAGCCCCTGGTAACAGTTCTTCATTCCTTGCAAGTGACAGTAACTTCCACCCCACTGTCGCGACCCATGACCAACGCTCACAACTTATCCTTTTTCCCCTCCCTCCCCCGCAGCGCAAGGACCTCCACACACAAATCTCACCACCCGAGCGGCGTGAAAACGATTATTTATAATCAAAGGCAGCTTATCAACCCTACCCAACTGGGCAACAGTAGCTTATGTAGCCTCATTCATGAATCCCAACAACCTGCACGTTTTCCTACGAAAACGGTGGTTATAGGGTTTTATGAGTGAGGAA